GCTAATAAACGTTCCTATCACTGAATTTTTGTTTGGCGTCAAACTTGCAAAAAGAGTGTGTTGTTCCACTGGTCAATTCAAATGGAAACGTTCAGCGTCTTGTCTGGCTAGAACGCAGGTGGTGTTGGTAAAATATCTATAACATCGACATTTTTTAGTTTTTAAATATTCTGGATGTGTGTGTGTGTGCGTGAGTGTGTGTGTATGTGTATGTGTGTGTGTGTGTGTGTGTGTGTGTGTGTGTGTGTGTGTGTGTGTGTGTGTGTGTGTGTGTGTGTGTGTGTGTGTTTTGTATGCCACGCGGGACGTGGCCAAGTCTAGGAACACCATAATCATTGTTCGGATGTACTTCCACCGCTGCTGCATCCAGACGGTGATTATGTTTTTTTATGAGTGTGACATGCGGGACGCTGCCAAGTTTAATTAAGAACATCATAATTATCGCTCGGATGTACTTGCACCGCTACTGCATCCACAGTGACACCCGGGACACGGCCAAGTCCAAAAATATCATGATTATTTTTCGGATGTACTTACACCGCTGCTGCGTCCAGACGGTAATTCGGAATGTCACCAAAATTTAATCAGTTCTAAGTTAGTCCCTTTCTGACTTGTCCCAAAAATTTCGATGAAATCCGGCCAGCACTTTTTGAGCTACGCCGCTTTCAAACAAACAAACCAACGCCGTCAAAAACATAACCTCCTTGGCGGAGGTAAAAATACAAAATGGAAAAGAAAATGTGAGACCTAGTTAATATAAAAAATACGCGATATGGAAACAATGTGCAAAACAGATGACGAATTATATTAAATACAAAATATTCATACGACGAGAGTGAAAAATTATGAAAGAATGCGACAGAGCGAAAAAAAATGCGGGAGTGAAGGAGGGGAGACAAAATAGAAGAAGAATAGATACTAGAATCATAAACAAAAATGGAAACAGTGAAGTTGCAGATTGATAATAATTATGATGATAATGATAATAATGATAACAGTAATAATAATAGTAATAATGATAATGATGATAATGATGGTGATAATAATAATAATAATAATAATAATAATAACAATAATGACAATGGTGACAATAATAATGATAATTGTTATTATTATCATAATTATCATTATACTATTGTTATTACTTTCTACATTATCATCATTGATTTAATTTTGAGAGAGAGAAAAATAGAGAGCGTGCGTGTGCATATGCGTTTACGTGCGTTTCCGCAAGAGAGTGTATGTGTATGTGTGTGTGTGCGTGTATAGATATGCGTGCATATTTATGAGTGCATGTGTGTGCGTGTGGTTGTGTTCGTATGTGCATGGGTGTGTGTATTTGTGTGCGCGCGTATGTGTGTATGAGTGAGAGAGAATGTGTGTGTGTGTGTGTGTGCATATGTGTGCGTGTGTTCATTTCTGTGTACGTATATGTGTCTGTCTGCGAGTGCATGTGTGTGTGTGTTCGAGAGAGAGAGGGACAAAGACAGAGTGTCTGTGTACGACTGCGTGCGTGGAGAGAGAATGCGAGGAGCAAGCTGCTGCCCATGCAGCAGTCTCCCTGACGCAGGAGACACCGTGGTCACGAAGGCTGTTCTCCCAGGGCGAGGCTCACCTGGTGGCGCTGACCCCTGCGAATAACCCAGGTGTGATTAACTCGAGTGCGAAATTCTTGGTAGCGAGGGACAGTGTTCGCGCTATCCCCCTTAACAGAGATATTTTTAAGGCTGCCACGGTGGTCCAGTGGTTAGAGCACTGGCCTCCGACTCTCATGGTCCCGAGTTCAATTCCCCGCCGCGGCAGTCGTAAAGTGCCTGCGCTCCGACTAGTGGCTCCAACTCGATTATCATATCATTATTCTTAAGCAATTTTGTTATTGTATTCATTATCATTATTACTATAATTATTATCGTTATTATTTTCATTTTAGTTATATTATCATTATCATTATTCTAATTATCATCATAATTACTATTATCTTCATTATCATCATAATTACCATTATCTTCATTATCATTATAATTACTATTATCTTCATTATCATAATTACTATTATCTTCATTATCATCATAATTACTATCATCTTCATTATTATCATTATCATGTGTATTATCAATATTTATTATGATTTTCATCATTCTTATTATTATTATCATTCTTATTATTATTACTATCATTATTATGATTATTATGATTATCATTCTTCTCATTATTATTATTATTATTATTATTATTAATGATACTACTACTTCTAATAATAATGATGATGATAATAATGCTTATGATAATAATAATAACGATAATAATAATAATACTGATAATAATAATAAGGACAATAATTATAATGATAATAATAATAATGATAATAATAGAAATAATAATAATTATTGATATTATTATTATTATTATTATTATTATTACGATGATAACACTAATGATAATAATAATGATTATAACACTGCCAAAGATAATAATAGTAATATTAATGATAATGATAATA